AAAAAAAAAAGTAGTAGAGAGTAGAACAATAGTTACCAGAGGCTGGGAGGGTTGGGGGAGTAGGGGAACATGAGGGGTGAATTAATGGGGACAAAACTATACTCTCTGCCGTAAATGAATCATTCTGCAGGATATGCATATATATATATATAATATATATATATGCATATGTGTGTATACATATGTATATGTATTGAAACGACACATTGTACCCCACAAAAATAAATATAAATAAAATTGCTTTAAAAAAACAAAAACAAAATAAACAGAAAACAAGCCTCAAAGTAGCATTTGGAATATGACTCCTATGAGTTTAAATGCTTCCAACTTCATTCAAAGGTAAGATTTCTCCCTGTACTCCAAGTTGAGGGCTACTTGGCAGCTGCATATCTTTAGAGGAAAGAGTTTGATTCCCTCTTGAGCTCTCTCTTTCTCTCTTACCTCCTCCCTGACACCCTAATGTCTATGTCTCCACCAGGAACATAGCAGAAAAGATCAACAGGCGTGGCTGTTCCTTCCTGGTGGGGTGGCTTCATTTTGGTCTGGTGGGATATGAGAACTAACTCTTCTTCCTTTGGGCACCAACATAGATTCTCTAGAGATTCTGATTGCTGAGCCCCTCTCCCCTGTAGATGCATCTTGACCTAAGCAGATGCTTCTCTACTTTGGGTAATCACGTGCTACTCCTTCCTCAGCCCCTGTGAAACTAGAGTTCATCTCTTTCTTCTCCCTACTGTGGGGGTCCTCTGTCCTTTGAGTTCATGCTACCGGACAGGAACCAGAATGACCCCACATTGGTTCTCTATCTCTCTCCCTCCCTCCCTCTGGCCACATACCATCTGTGGGAGGCAATTACACATCCCTTACCCAACAACTCTGGACGTGTAGACAGAACCCAACTTAGCCATTCCATCTTCTCATCATAGCCCAGCGTAGCTTCCTTAAATATGGGTCCAGCACCAATCTTTTGTGTCTTCCAATAGCAGCAAACATTTTTCAGGTTCCAGAGAAGTCTGCCTTATTAGCTTTGAGTTGAGGAAGATCTCTTCTAGTATCCCTTTCCTCACAAGTACCACAGTGATAATTCTTTCTAAAGAAACTGCTTCAGCAATTTTTCCTCTTCACCCCAACCCCACTTTTTTCTATCTTTGATCTGAGTCAAGATCTAATGTGCAACATTCCCCTTGCACATTCTGCAAATGTGATCTAACATTTAACTTGGAACTTGATACCTGATATACTGGAATCCTAGGAAGAATCCCATTTTCGTATCCTCATACTATGTGGGAGGTTTTATTTTGCAGCTGAGAATATCAAGAATTCAAGAGATTAAGTGATTGTGTGGGGATCCCAGAAGGAAAAGAACCAAAGAGGGGGACTCTAAAATTGGCATAAAAATTCTGAACAAACCTCTGGCTCATCCCTGAAACATATACATGAAATGTACAGAAAGTAGCCCAGCTGGAAATAAAAAGA